GCACGGCAGGCGTGGCAGTTTCTCGACACCAGAGGGGGTGCGCAGGGGGTGGTCCCTGAGCGCGGCGTCTATGCGGGCCATGGCGCAGGGCACGGCAGGCGTGGCAGTTTCTCGACACCAGAGGGGGTGCGCAGGGGGTGGTCCCTGAGCGCGGCGTCTATGCGGGCCATGGCGCAGGGCACGGCAGGCGTGGCAGTTTCTCGACACCAGAGGGGGTGCGCAGGGGGTGGTCCCTGAGCGCGGCGTCTATGCGGGCCATGGCGCAGGGCACGGCAGGCGTGGCAGTTTCTCGACACCAGAGGGGTGCGCAGGGGGTGGTCTCCCTATGCGTGCCAGGGTCGTCCAGGCATAGCAGGCGTGGCATTTTCTCGACACCAGAGGGGGTGCGCAGGGGGTGGTCTCCCTATGCGTGCCAGGGTCGTCCAGGCATAGCAGGCGTGGCATTTTCTCGACACCAGAGGGGGTGCGCAGGGGGTGGTCTCCCTATGCGTGCCAGGGTCGTCCAGGCATAGCAGGCGTGGCATTTTCTCGACACCAGAGGGGGTGCGCAGGGGGTGGTCTCCCTATGCGTGCCAGGGTCGTCCAGGCATAGCAGGCGTGGCATTTTCTCGACACCAGAGGGGGTGCGCAGGGGGTGGTCTCCCTATGCGTGCCAGGGTCGTCCAGGCATAGCAGGCGTGGCACACAAGATATAAAATCAGTATGTGGGGTTCCTCGGTAGCGTAATCTGGGTGTTTTGGCCAGCGGAGGTTCTCATGCTCTTGAAGGATGTTCTTCTGTCTTTGGTCCGGCCGTAGTCCAAGCTGCCCTCGGCAGCTCCCCCGAGTAGTCCAGGGCGGCCTCAGCACCTCAACCCCGTGACGCCGAACGCCCTAGAGGCGCGGCCGGAGGCGGCGCCCGTGTGCAACCCGAAGCCTCGACGGTTCTACTCCTCCTCCCTCCTCCTCCTCCTCCTCCTCCTCCTCCTCCTCCTCCTCCTTCCCCCCCCCCGAAAAGTCCTTCCTCCTCCCTCCCTCCTCCTCCTCTCTCCTCCTCCCTCCTCCCTCCTCCTCCCAGCCGCCGCCCCTGCCCGAGGTGTTTGGGATTGCCACAGGAGCAGTGCACCTCGCGCGCCGGGCAGCTGCCATGCGCGCCGGCCGCCTCGCCGCGCCCTGCCCAGGCGAGCGGCGGGCTGGCCGCGCCCCACGAGCCTCTTCCGGCTGGCGCCATGGCGACCGGCCGAGACCGAGCCTGCGCGCCGCTGTGCGCAGGCTCGGCTTCGCGGCCCGCGTTGGCCGCCGGCCGCTCATGAGCGACGTGGCCAGTCTCGCTCGAGTGGCTGCTCGTACCGTTCCCGCAGCTGGCGGCCGTGCAGGCCATAGACATGATGATCATGATGATCGTCGGGCGGCCGAGCCCGAGCCGGTGCTGGAGCGCGCCGCCGCCGCCAGCGACGCCCATGCGCACGTCAAGTGCTCCGGCTGCGCGGTGCCGGCTGCGCGGTACTGGGTGCCCGCCGCGCTGCCGCCCCCAGCTGCCGCCGCGCCGATGTGGTGGCCGAAGCTGCCGTCGGGGCCGCCTCCGAGCTGCGAGCGAGGAGGACGAGCAGTGGCAGCCGGCCCGATCGCTGCTCAGCGACATGTGGGTGGCGAAGCTGGAGCCCGACATCGTGAGCTACAGCACGTGGCATCCGGCACTTTCGCTGCTCAGCGAGATGTGGGTGGCGAGGACGGCCCCGACGGTGCTGCCGACTCGTCTGATGAGTCCGTCTCGCAGGTATCCCAGGCTGCTGTGGCCCCGCCCGCTGGTGGAGGTCCGCTGGCGCCGCCACCGGTTGCACCGCCGCTGGCAGCGCCACCGCCGCCTGGCGCTCCGGCCGCTGCAGTGCCGGCTGAGCCCTGCACGACGCCGCCGCCGCTGGAGGGGGACGAAGGCGAGGGCCGACGGAGGCGTCTCGCCGAAGGCGAGTCCGCGGCCGCGGCCGGGCCTGTGGCCGCTGGGCGGGATGGCCGCACGGCGGAGGTGGGCAAGCCCCTCCCCCCCAGCGTCCCCTGTCGGGGCCCGGGGGAGGCGGCGAGGCAGCCTACGGGCCCCACCCCGCTTCCCGCTGCGAGTGCGGCGGATGCCGCGGCCGCCGCTGCTAAGGGCTTGAGTGCCCAGACCCCAAGGGCGCTCCACCCCGGAGTAGACCCATCAAAAGAAAATAAAGATGGGAATCCCCCCACGAGGCGGCCCCCCCTACCTAGCCCATCGGGCTGTGTCGCCGTTGACTCCCCCGCCTCGTCGCCACGGCCGGATCCACCCCGGGAATCTGCCCCCAGGACGCAGGCCGTCCCCGCCGTGGCGTTCCCCGAGCAGGAGCACCTGGAGGCCGCCGTGCAGGCCGCCTTCGCTGAGAGCTCGGACGAGCCTGCTGCGGAGCATCGGCACGGCGAAGTGGGGGAGGTCGTTCGGGGAGCGCTAGCAGTGGCAGCCGGCCCCCTCGATGCTCAGCGAGTTGTTGACAGTGAAGCTGGAGCCCGCTATCAAGAGCTCCGGGACCCCGATCAGCCCGTGCGTGAAGTGCTAGCAGTGGCAGGCAGCACCCTCGATGCTCAGCGAGATGTGGATGGTGAAGCTGGTGCCGATGCCGAGTTTGCAGTGACAGTGCCAGTTGCCCATTCGCCGTCAGAGCCGGCCCAAGCTGCGGCCGTTCCGCCCGAGGCTGCCCCGCCACGCCGGACAGAGATGCAGCGAGTACAGCGCTGCAGGCCCACTTCGGCCAGCCAGGCTGCGGATCTAGAGATCCGCCTCCTTTATCAGCATGTGTCCCGGCTGACACGCATCCTGCTCAGCCTCGAACGGACGGCTCCGGATTTCCCGCTCGTGCAGAGTCACCGTACTAGAGTGTGCGAGCTACAACGATTGGTGGCAGAAGCGGAGGCCAGGCGCGCAGCCTTGACTCCCACCGCCTCCGAGCCCGCGCCGGTGCTGGAGGCGCACGTGCAGCGCGAGCCCGTGCAAAGCGACGTCGTCGTGGTCTCGCCGATCTACCCGGCTGCTGTGACCCCGCCTGTTGCTGGAGGTCGCAGAGGCGCGGTCGCAGAGGCGCACGTCGTCCCGTTGGCCCGCGCAGCGGCAGTGGGCAGGCCCCTCCCCCCCAGCGCCCCCTCTCGGGGCCCGGGGGAGGTGGCGCGGCAGCCTCTGGGCACCAGTCGGGCGGCCGAAGGCGCTGCCTGGAAGCGGCTGTGGGGGTCCACAGAGGCACCTGGGGCTGCTCGGGGACTTCCTCCCAGTCGCCCCCCCGTGCTCCCGGCGAGCCTGACCACGGCACCTGGGACGAGCTGCCCGCCGCCGCACGCTGCCGACCACTCCCGCGCGGGCCGCGCGGCCGAGGCCCGCCCCGCGGCTGCTGGTGCCTTCGTGCGGCTCGCCGCGAGCCACACGGCCGCCCCGACGCCTGGAGCTGGAGAGAGCGAAGTCCCTTCTGCGCCCGCCGAGCTTGAGCGCGTGATAGGGCTGCCATCCAGCCGGCCGCCCTTTCGGAAATACGTTCTGGCGTTGGGAATGAGCTTGCGGTGGAAATGGGTTCGAGTGAAACGTGTCCGGGAATCTAGCCATTCGCCACCATGCAGCAGAGTGTGCGAAGACCTTTTTCTGATGCATTTGTATAGGTGGGTGCGTCCAGGACCTCCGACGATGGCGCTTCGATAACCGTGCTGCTGTGTATCTCTATGCGCATCGCTCTTCGACCGTGTCGCGAGGGTGCGAAGTTGTCCTTCCCTCGCTCAGGTACGACATTTATCTTGGCAAGATTTCCGTGTGGTAATTCCCGTTGTGGTGCTCCACGCGGCCTATTTCTTGCGCTCACGAGAATAGGAGGTGATTGGTCTGCGTCCCAGCCTTCTCCCTCCCTCCCGTCTTCATCATCATGTCGCCTCCCTCCCTCCATCCCTCCCCTCCTCTTCCCGAGTGGCCGAGAGCCACGAATCGGCAGTTCGATTCCTTGTTCGACCCGATGCCGGCCGCTTGATTTGTAGAGGATTGTTTGAGGAGAGGGAGGAGAGGATGAGGAGATCTGCATCACGCTTGATTGTGATTTTCCCTTAGCCTCGCCACTCGTGCCGACGTGTGCCGTCTGCCCCGTCGCAGGCTTACGAGCAGGAAGTTTTCGGTTGCGTCCCAGCCTTCTTCTCTCCTCCTCGTTCGCTTAATTTCCCCCTCCCTCCCTCCGCCCCTCCACCCGAATGCCCTGGACGGGCACAGCAAGCCACTGTCGCAGCTTTTCGCGTTTGCCGTCCAGTTGCCCATATTGAAGGGTGGGGGATGCAGCGAGGAGGATTGGGAGGGTCTGGACTCCTTGTTTCGGTTCGACGCGTTCCGTCCGCTCTGTCGCGGGGGTCCCATCGTACTGTACTGTACTTGCGTTCTTGGTGCCCGTGCAGATATCTCAGCTTTTTCGTTCAGCCAGCTTGCCTGCCTGCGCTATAAAAGGCATCTGCTAGCTGCAGCGCCGCCCATTCGTGACAGCCATCCTGGTTCATCACGCTTGCAATCCAAAATCCTCCTCCTCCCTCCTCCTCCTGCTCCTCCTCCTCCTGCTCCTCCTCCTCCTGCTCCTCCTCCTCCTCCTCCTCCTCCTCCCCTCCTCCTCCTCCTCCTCCTCCTCCTCCTCCTCCTCCTCCTCCTCCTCCTCCTCCTCCTCCTCCTCCTCCTCCTCCTCCTCCTCCTCCTCCTCCTCCTCCTCCTCCTCCTCCTCCTCCTCCTCCTCCCTCCTCCTCTCCTCCTCTCCTCCTCCTCCTCCCTCCTCCTCCTCCTCCTCCTCCTCCTGCTCCTTCTCCCTCCTCCTCCTCTCCCTCCCTCCCTCCTCCCTACCCCTCCTCCCTACTCCATCCCTCATCCCTCCTCCCTCCTCCCTCCTCCTCCCACCCATCCCCGAAAAGCCCCTCCTCCCTCCCTCTCTCCTCCCCCCTCCTCCCCTCCCACCACCCCCTCCCTTCCCTCCCCGTCAGCCCCCCCCACCGAAGACCCCCTCCGCGGAGGAGGCCCGCCCGGGTGGACCGGCTGGTCTCCCTTTTCGCGGAGAGCCAGGAGCAGCTGCAGGACCTGTGCTTGCACGACCCGCGGCAGGCCGAGATCCCGCGCCGGGCGCGCCACTCGTCGCCGTCGTCGTCGTCGTTTTTCCTCCCTCTGGCTGAGGTTCGAAGTTTTCGAAGGTTTCGTCCCTAAGATCTTGGCGTATACTTTTTTCGAGCTGGGCGTTTTCGCTTTATTTCAAGTCCCGGGACCATCACATATCGATCCGGCTTGAGAGAATCTAGTAGCCGTAGTTAATGGCCTTCGGCCCATCCCGCCACCGTGCATGGGATGTGGGTATGAGGCCTATCGGATGGTCGTTGGGATATCATATGAGCTTCTCAGGGGCCTCTTGGAGGCAACTTGGACGCCTCTTGGGGGTCGTTTGGGGGCCTGTTGGAGCGTCTTTGGAGCCTCTTGGGGGTCTCTTGGGGGCCTCCTGGGCGCCTCTTGGGGCCTCCTGGGGGCTCTTGGGGCGGAAGGCTTGAATGTTCGCTTCGTGTTCCCTCTTTTGGGACCGTCTTGGGGCCCCTCTTGGGGCCCTCTAGGGCCGTGTTGGTCGCCTCTCCGTCTGTCTTGGGGCCCTCTTGGGCCGTCGGGCCTCTAGGGCCGTCGGGCAGCGTCGGGGAGCCGACAACGAAGAGAAATTCAATGATGTTTACCTCTCGGGGCCTTGGTTGGATGCCTCTTGGAGGCTTCTTTGGGCGTCTTGGAGGCCTCTTGGGCCGTCTGGGGGTCATCTGGAGCGTCTTGGAGCGATCGTTCGGCGACTCGGGGCCTCCTTCGACCGTCTTGAGGGCTTCTTGGAGCCCTCTTGGAGGCATTTTGGATGCCTCCTGGGTATAGGGGCCTCTTAGAGCCTTTTTGGGGCCTTTGGAGAGCTTCTTGGGAGCCGTATGGGGGCCTATTGGAGCCTCTTGGGGCCTCCTGGGGGCCTCTTGGGGCGGAAGGCTTGGATTTTCTGTTCGTGTTCCCTCTTTGGGGGCCGTCTTGGAGCCCCCTTGGGCTGTTTTTGGGGGGCCTCTTGGATTGTCTTGGGGCCCTCTTGGGCCGTTTTGAAGCCCTCTTGGGGCTGTTTTGGGGCAACCTTGGGGGCTACTAGGGCTGTCTAGGAGCGTCGGGAAGCCGAAAAGGCGAGAACGCCAAAGTCCTTCAACAACCTACGGCAACTCAATGATTTTGGCCTTTAGGGGCCCTGCTGGGAGGCCGCCTGGAGGCCCCTTTGTGCATCTTGGAGGCATCTCGGGTCGTCAGGCGACCATCTTGAGCGTCTTGGAGCGATCGTTCGGCGACTCGGGGCCTCAGTGGACCGTCTTGGGTGCCTCTTGGGGCCCTCTTGGCCCGTCTTGGGGCCCTCCTGGGTCAGAAAAAGTCACGCGAGAAGTTGCCGGGAAGGCCAGGGGAACCGCGACAAGCCCCAGGAGATTTCGGAATTTGTGTCTGGGCCCCTGACGAGTGGCGGATGGTGTTCACCATGTTTCAGTTTTTCGCTACGTCGGCTGCTGTCGGCTTGTTGGCGATTCTCTGGCCCAGGACTGCTCTCCAGTGGCTGCGCGTCGCCGAGGACGTTCCAGGAGTGATCAGGTCGTCCCGGACGGCCGCCGGAGACTCGAGCTATGACCCGGAAGCCAGGGGGCGGTGCTCCTTTCAAACTCTGGCAGGTGTGCTTGCACGGGAGGGAGGCGGGCGGCGTGGCGAGGTCCAAAGGAAACTTGGGTTTCACGCAAGTCGGGACTCACTTACACGTCTCTTCGGTCCAGCGCTGTTGGAAATGGCGGCGGGAGGGGGGAACTGTCATGCAAGTAGATTCGCTAAACATTGAATGTACAGTGGAAACTGATACTAAGGATGATCGACTTCCCAAGGGTACCCTTGCATCCCTGCCTCTTCGGGCATCTTCGGTCCATCCTTAACCACTTTCGATGACCAGCCCCGTTCGACAAGCTTCGGTATGGGCGTCCAAGGCCCTTGCATCCGTATCGCGCATCCTTATCATCAGTGTTGACTGTATAACACGGTCTGTCGTCCGAGCCCGAGCCAAGCCCGAAGCAGGCCCAGCGGAGCTGGCCCGCGTCTCTTCTCCCGGGATTCACCGAGCGCGTTCCATTAATGATTCGCAAATGTTACATTCGCAAGCGTCTGACAAACACATCAGTGCTTCGACGTAATGAATGGCAAATCCACCGCGGCGGATCCAGGCCATGTGCGAGTAGTTGCTTTGCGAGTAGTGGAAAGCGCTTGTCAAGAGATGTGCGGGTCTGGACGCCGTGGTCGTTTCGGCCGCCCTGCGAGCCAGGGGTGCCCAGGAGCGTGCGCACAGGTCCTCCGCGAGGACGAGGAAGCCGTCGGAGCCAACACGCAGATTATTCTCTGGGATGCTCTCCGGCAGCTGCGCCTCGCCGAGGGCGTCCGGGTGTGCCCAGATCGTCCCGAACGGCCGCCGCAGAGCCGAGCTGCGGCCCGAAGGCGCCAGGGGCCGTGGGCGCGCCAGGCGCGCCGCTCGTCGCCACCGCCGCCGCCGCCGTCGTCCTCGTCGTCGCCGTGGCCGTCGTCGTCGTCGTCGTCGTCGTCGTCGTCGTCGTCGTCGTCGTCCTCGCCAGGCAGGACGACAGAGGAGGATGAGGTCGGTCGGTCGGATGCAGGCCGGTTGCGCTCGGCCTCTATCCGCCGGGGGGCTGCGTACGTTGGGCTGCACACCTGCCTGAGGTCGGATCGAAGATCGCCTGGAAGCCTGGAAAGGCCAAGAAGCAGCGCGACGTCTGCGCCGCCCTCTCTTGCCTCCGCGCGATGCCTGCCGATGCGATCGCGCTGCTCCGGCGTGAACTCAGCCGGCGGGACCCAGACATGCGATGTTTTCTTTGTTTCAATACGCGGTCCCTTGAAAGTCCCGACCCTGTCCCCAGTGCCAGCTTTTCATCCCGAGCTGTTTTTGACGGCTCCGAGTCCTACTCCTCCTCCCGTGGCCATTTTGGTTGAAGACTTTCCGCCCGTGGCAATGCACGGATACAGCAGGTCCACGGCTAGATTCAGTCGTTATGTTTCAGCTTCGCGTTGCGAGGGCAATTGCAACTTCACGATCCCTGCACCACAGTGCAAGCTCCTTTCAGCGAGCTCCAGGCTACGGTCCGATGCATGGGCTTGCCCTGCTCGTGCGGTGTTCCAGGCTGGGTTGGCGTATGCGTCTTTCACGTTGTAGCTATTTCCTGGTTAGGCTGGGGGGAGGAATTAATTCTGCGTTCTTTCGCTGCGCTGGCATCCAGAGGTTAATCTGTTGCGCTGTCTGAAGAGACAACAAAACAAACCCAAACAGAAGTGTTCAGTGAGCTCCTGGAGAGGCAACAAAGCATGCGCGATGTGGTCAAAAGGGCTGAGGCTCCTCTTGTGGAGCTGCCAGTCTTTCGGGGGACTCATCCGACTGGGCGTGTCCATAACTCTCCTCGCCAGCATGACGGCGGTGGAGGTTCCCGAATCTGGCCGCCAGGATCCCGACAATGAGGCACAGTTCAGAAACAATTGGCAGCTCCCCCTCCCCCAAGAAAAAGAGTCTACGCCCCGATGCGGAATGCCATTGCCAAGGCTCCCGAGTGCAGCGGCTCACCCAGGCCGTTGCGACCCAGGGGGAGGCGCACCCGCGGTTGGCATCGTTTTCTGATTCTTGTTTGGAGTCAAAGTTTTCAATCTTGACCTCAACTGCCACTTGGGCGCGCCGTGGCTGCGAGGGGGGATACGTCTCAGGGCATGGCTGGCCCCCTTGTTATGAATCGGCGCGCACGATGGATTCCCATCTTGATTCGAAGCTGCACCAGCCATGGCCCGGCTCTCTCACTCTCTCTATACACGTACAATATATACACATACGCATAGATGTTTATACATACACATATATATATATGTATACATACATGTGTGTTGTGTGTTGTTTGCCTTCATGCTATGATACCGTACCCATAACACAGTATATTGTAACCTGATAGTGTACATGCTAATGTGAGTAAGCATTGCATATCATACTGGTAGATGATATACTAAACGCTTACATGCTATGCCATAACATGTTATATTATAATGCGTTAGCTACGTTATACTACATGTTTAAATAGACGGTGATATAAGATGCGGGAACCTAATGTACTACACTGTAGTATAAGGTGTCCAGTAACATGTAACATAGTATATTGTTTGTATATATACACACTCCTACTAAACAAAAACAGAGTATAATATGGTATATTATCACATACTCGAATACACGAACGTATCATCTCACCATGCTTTAATCTATTACGCCACCACCTATTATAAAGTATGGTATGCTGTGAAGGCATGATCCAGTATAACTATACAGTACAGTTCAATCTAATAGCACCAACGATTTCAATATATTTTTCTATAGCGTTGTAGATTATGGTTGAATACAATATGATGGAATGTGAGATGATGTAAATAAAAGAATCGTGTGATGTGCAATATTGTACAATATGGTATACCATACTAGACCGTAAGGTGGTACAGCACAATAGAATACGTATATATATATATATAGATATATATGTGTTGCATCAGTGTTCGCGAAGGTGAAACGTGGCTCGAGTGACCATGAGGACCATCAGCGAAGACACTGAGTGCTGCCTGTACGGCATCCATCTGCGCTGTGTCTTGCGGCCGTCCACCCCAGGTCGTAGCCACCCAGATCGAGCTGTTGACGCGCCGCATCGAATGGTACGGCAAGGATCGAATTAGGACATGTGCACCACTGAAAGTATTCGGAGGTCCGCACGGAGTTCTTTAGATCTGCGCTGGGACCCCCTTGGCGGTAACTCGGGCACCGCCCATCGCGCGCTCCGCGCGCCAGGGAGGGGGGGCCGAGCGCGGATCCAAGAAATCCGCCCGCACCTCCGAAAGTTGTTGCTTACGCCGTCTGCTCTTCTTCTGAAGGAGACCGATGCAGCGTCGCAAGCGCCGTCCAGCGGGAGAACAGACGGACCCGTGGTGCTGCCCGTGCCGGCGGGCCTCGTCAAGCCCACCGCGCCGAGGCTCTGCAACGAGGGCCTACCCAGAACCCCTCGTAGGTGGCCCTGAGCCGGAAAGCCGATTGTCGATGGGCAGCAGCCCAGACATCCAACGCATTGAAGCCTCAAGACGGAGGGTTTTGGGGCTGCTTTTGGTCTCTAGGGTCCCTCGCCGGGCCCGGGGACCGTCACAAAACAACTTGAGATGACAAACCGGCCCAGGGAAAGGGTCGGGACTTCTGGCGGGGGGGCCATATTAACAGAACCGGACATCGGTTGTCTGGGAGCATAGCTTGTCGGAGATCCACGCGAAATTTTTGAATCGGCGCTGGCGAGCCCCCCTTCCCGCAACCCTGGGTGCCGCCCCCAGCGCGCGGCCCACGCTGGGGAAGGCGTGCGGGAAGGGGGGGGGGGCGGCCCGAGCAGTCCACGCGGACCTCCTGCGAAAGCCCATGTTCCATGCCTTTGTTTCTCCTGCGAAGGGGCGGGGGGCGCTGAGCTCCAGAGAGCCGGTCCTGTGGTGCCCACGCTTTTCGGTTCAGGGCAACCCAGAGTGGTTTCAGGGCGGGCCCAGATGCCACGGAGGCCACCAGCGCGGGTCATTGCGGCCATCGATACGAGCAGCAGGCCAGATGTCGGCGTGGACGAGGTCGCCGATGAGATTGTTCCGCCAGTTCTCCCAAAGATGCACCGCTGGGAGGCCTCGTTTGACCAGGACCGGCAGGGAGGGGAGGAACGGCAGGATGGAGGAGACGGGCCGATTGAACGAGCGCCCACCAGCAAGCCTTCCCACCTTCCCCTTTTCATCCTTTCCCGTCGACCGTCTTGTCCTCATCCCCCCTCCTCTTCTTCATCTCGATCAAAAAAACAGCATAAAAACGGATTTCTTGGATCGGCGTTGGTCCCTTCCTTGGCAACGCCTCCAGCGCCGCCCCTGGCGCACTCCGCGCGCCAGGGAGGGGGTCCAGCGCCGATCCAAGAAATCCGTGCGCACCTCCGAAACAGTATGTTTATGACGTCTTGTTTCTATCATCATTTCCTCCTCTCTCCATTCCCCCTTCCTGAACCCCCTGGCACCATAGGGCACGCGATGTTTGTCTGAGGGCTCCTGTGTGACTGATCCTGGGGTTAGCTCACAGAGGACGCGTCTCGCCCCCTGCAAGCGGTTGCCAAGCAGTGCCATCAGCCAGAGGGCGGACAGGTCGCGAGCTACCACTCCCCCATTGGCCCTCACTACGCGCTCCCTTCCCTCGCCGCGCTCTCTCTCTCTCTCTCTCTCTCTCTCTCCTTGCTCTCCTCGGAAAAGCGCCTGCCGAGCGATGTCAAGCAGTGCCGTAACAGAGGGATCATGCAGCGGCCAGAGGGTTACGGTGTGAGGGTGATTGGTGGGTCGACCCTGCCAAACAAAGGGCACCCTTATGTCCTGTGTTTCGCGAGCCATGCCTTCTACATTTCTCTGGCAGTGTGGCCCTCGGAAGGGTCTTGTGTCCTCCTCTGTAACCTCTCCGATCACCGACTGCACCACTCCCCGCTCCCCCTCGCGTTCCCCACCCACCCGCCCTTCGCGCTCCCTCCCCCCATCCGCGCGGCGCGGGACCCTCACATTTTTTGTTGCCGTGCTTTTCCTCGAGGGGGCTCCCCGAGCAGGGCTGGCAGGGGCTCACGCGGTCGCCTCGCGGGCCATTCAAGATTACACTGTGCTCGCGGAGCGTTGGACGTCTGCTCCGCACGATGCGAATGATCTGGACCTCTCCCAAGGTCCGCTCTGGCCAGAATGGCGAGGGGAATTCAGCCGTGACGACGAGAAGCCTCCTGGAGTTCTCCCTCCCAAAAGCCTCAATAGCAAAATGCAACAACAAACTCAAACCTCGTCGGGAGGAGGAGGAGGAGAAGAAGAAGAAGAAGAAGGAGGCGGAGGAGGAGGCGGAGCAGGAGAGGAGGAGAAGGAAGAGGAGGAGGAGGAGGAGGAGGACAAGGACGAGGAAGAGATGGAAGAGGAAGACGAGGAGGAGGAGGACGCAGATGAAACAATCCCGAGGATTAGAGTCCGCTCAACGTAAAAAGGACGACGACGAGGACGACGACGACGAGGACGAGGGAGGACGGCCGCTGCAGGCCATGCGCTCGAAGCAGCACTGGAAGCAGGACCATGCAGCGCGAGTGCAGCGGCAGGCCCCGGCCCAGCCGCCAGCGCAGCAGGCGCCAACGCGCGACCGCGGCACCGGGGCGGACGGCCTGGGGAAGGCGCGCCCCGAGGGCGGTCTGGCGGCAACGCGGGGGATGGGGGGGCAAAGCGGAGGAGGAGCGGAGCCTCCCGTTCTTCTCTGTTCCTGCACGTCTTGCTCCTCCTGCTCCTCCTCATCCTCCTCATCCTCCTCATCCTCCTCATCCTCATCCTCTTCCTCCTCCTCCCCCTCCTCCTCCATTCCTTTTCCTTATAGGTTGTTCCTCCCTGTCGCACCTCGGAGCCAGTTTTTAGGGCGGGCCAGGCGTTTCGCCCGCCTAAGACTTCCTCACCATTTATGACCCTGAAGCTGAAACATCTGCAACAGCTTCACGGATTGAGGGCGGCACGTTTTCAAAATGTGGTTCTCGCCTTAGCGCTGCGCACATTTGTTTTAATCATTTGGAAGAGCTTCACGGATCGAGGGCGGCACGTTTCCAAAATGTGGTTCTCGCCCTAGCGCCGCATACATTCGTGTTGAAAAATGCAAGAGCTTCACGGATTGAGGACGTTTCTTTTTCAACATGTGGCCTTCGCTTTAGTACCGCGCATCTTTTGAAAAAATCAAGAAGTGACGATCAACGTATCAGAATTAGTGTTTTCGAGCGATTCAGGATTATGAGGATCAACGGTTACGTTGATTCGCGGTGTTGAAGTCCCAGGAATAGCAGTCTGGCACGATTCAGGATCGTCAAGACGCAACAGTCAGGTTGACCCGTGGCGATGGAATCCCGAGAACAATGCTGTGGCATGCTTCAGGGTCTTCAAACGGTTGTCTTCCAACGAGGCAGTTCCCTCAGAGGAGGTGAACCGTTGTATGGGGCCTATGAAGCGGGAGTTTGCAGGGAGGGTTTATTCCAACATCGTTGGTGACTTTCGGGTTTACACTGGTCCTCCTCCTCCTCCTCCTCCTCCTCCTCCTCCTCCTCCTCCCCCTCCACAGCCTCCTGCTTCTCCTCCGTTTCCTCCTCCTCCTCCTCCTCTTCCTCCTCCTCCTCCCCATTCCTGTGAGGGTCCTCCCCTCGGAAGCCACGCCTGTCGCTCATTGCGCGCAGCCGAGGGAGGGGGGGCCAGAGGGGAGGCTGGCCTCGCGACGGGGTGTGGCCGCGGCCAGGCTCCGAGCAACGGGGAGCTGGTGGCGCAGCTGCGGGCGGAGCGCGAGAGGCTGGAGGCGCTGTTGCCGCGCTTCGAGCGGCAGCAGGCCTGGTCCGCTGCCAGAGGGGGGGGGGCTGCTCTGGGCACAGCATGGAGCCACAACTATGTAAATATTTCTGGAGGGCCCCATCGGGGGAGAACCCACCGACCTCAACATGTACACTTCGGTTGTGGTTGTGGTCGACTTGGCCGTCTGGCACGCCCACATCCGCCACAACCAGTACTAAGCTGATTTCGGTGCCTTCTCGATTGTTGGCATGCGCAACACATCCCCCAGCGTGGGTCCTCGATGTGTTTGTGGTCGCCTGCTGTCCCCGCAGCTGCTGGGAATGCGGCTCTGGCGAAGCACCGCGGGGCCCAAACCGGTACGATCGAAGTGGGGACGGGAAGAACGGGAACATGTAGGAGGGGTTCTCGAGGTCCTCGGGCGGTCTGCGCTCAAGATGTTCGGGCGTGTTCGTTAGCTCGTGGCGGGTTGTCCAGCCTCGGGGTGCCTTCCAGCAGCTGCGCCTCGCAGAGGGCGTTCCAGTGGTGCCTGGATCGTCCGGGGGTGCCCAAATCGTTCGAGGCGTTTGGAGCGGCCGCCAGAGAGGCCCCAGTGATGGCCCGAAAGCCACGGGGAGGATCTCTTCCGAGCTCGCCTCCCTTCCTGCCTATTTTGGGGCAGGGCTCGCTATCGGTGTCGCCGAGGGCGTTGTTTCAGTTCGGGGCCAGACGTCGCCTGCCCGGCAGGGGCCGCGGCCGGCTTTGGGACAGCGTGTGCTGTTGGGCATCGTCCCCCTCTCCTCCTTGTGGTCCCCCCGCGCGGGCGTGCCAGCCGTGCAGTCTCCTTGCTCCTCTTGCGTTTACCCGGCATTGAACGGCTAGGCTCGTCGCCTCTCAGGGCATTGCGTATGCGCAAACAGAGAGAAGCATGAGCCGTTGGAGACGGGCGATGCGGCGGCCGAGCGGGAGAAGGAAAGGCGAATAGAGGAAGCAAACATGGCTATTCCTCCTCCTCCTGTCTTCGGCAAGCCGCAGGCGCTCCCTGCGTGTATCCGCCTCCACATCCCCCTCCTTCCGCCATCACGCTGGTTGCACACGCCTTGACCAAGGCCCTCGCCGACGTGTGCCAGATGGGCCTCCTGGATGTCCACCGTAGCTTCGTTCTGAATCGCGTGTGCAGGAACAACCTTCTCGAGATGTAGGGTCATGCTCTTCACTTGTTGGCGCAGCGAGGTGTCAGCAAGACGGGCACTGCGTTCTACACGACATCCGCTCCGCCTTCCTTTCCTGCTTCACCTCACCCTTTCCTTCATCATCGAGTACATGGGCGTGCCAGCCATGACCACACGGCAGTCGGTCCTGTGGGCCAGAGGCCTCTTAGATGCCTCTCTGAGGTCTCATTGAAGACTCTTGGAGCATCAGTTGTCTCAAACGCTTGGTGCAGGTCAGTAGCGCTATCGTTCCGGGCGGACTCCAGCTGAACCCCAAAATAGGCTGTGGACCGGGAGACAGAGACTCTGGCGGGAAAGTTCACCATGACTCCGCAGTTGCATGAAGGCTGGCACGTACGTAACGGTATTTGAACGAAGTCAACAAATCGTGGTCGAACAAACTCAAAGACAATTTGCTGGGATGATTCCAAGGAATCTGTGTCTCTTGGGGGTCTGTTGGGGTCTCCTGGCCATGGCTCCCAAGTCTGTTCGTGCTTACCTTCTTGGCTTCCAAGACGACCCAAGAGGCACCCAGGAGAGCCCAAAAAGTCGCCCAAATGCTTCCCAGAGGCCCCCAGAAACCACACCACGCGGACAACTTGAGCGTCCCGGACGCGCACCCCGCGCAGCGAGAGGGATCTCGACGAGGTCCCCGAGCTTCCAAGAGGCCGCCATACCATGCACGAACGCGCACCGCGCGAAGCCAGAAGAACCCCAAAGAGGCCCCCCCAGAGAGCCCCTGAGCCTCCAAGAGGCCACAAGAGGCTTCCAGGAGTGGGCCGAGACAGCCTGCGAGGATCCCAATGCCCCACGAGGCACCCGGGCAACACTCCAAGACTCCAAGACGCCTTTCCAGTCAAGAAGAAACCGCGCAACATGCAAATCAGCATGACGCTTCCCTCTTCTCCCCTTCTTCGTTCGGAAGTCGTGCCACAGGACCCAGGGGGCCCCTGCGGCAAGTCAGGGAGCTCCAATATCGAGCGTGGTGTCCAAAATTGCACCACGACGCGCTGAGAGGCCTCCTGGACAGCCCCACGGGCCGAAGGTAACCCCTCCATGGTATCTGGGTGGCCCAAGCGGTCCAGGTCAAGCTTCGGGGATGGCTACAGGCCGCTCCCGAGGTGTTCGACAGTGATGAACAACCATGTCGTGTACCTCTTGTCATTGGTCGGACGTTCTTCCGGCTGCCATGCCTTTGACAAACCTCCAAAGGGTCCGATTGCCCCAAGAGCCCTCCAAGAGAGCCTCGAAGAAGCCCCGAGAAAAGACCCTCCAAAGGATTTCCAACGCTCCAGGACGCCTCCGTCGCCACAAAAAATAAATCGCACGGCATGGGAACTGGCATAACACCTCCCTCCTCTCCCCTTTCTCTCTGGTTCCCTTTCCTCTTCCCCTCTTCCCCTTTTCGGACGGGCCTAGAATCAGGATAATCCCTTCCAGAGCGCTCTGGAACGCTCTCTGAGCGTCCTGGAACGCTGAGAAACGGCCGCGGCACGCGATACATCCTCCAGACCCTCAGATTCTCAGAGATTTCCGATGTTGTCTCGGTTCTGGTTTCGTCTTACCTCTTCTACCGTTCCCCGACTCACGCATGCCCTCGTGTGCCTTGAGGGCCAGGGCTCGTGGTTCTTCTGTGGGCCGTGGAGGCCCCGCAGGTCCCCCCCGCAGGCTCCCCCTTGGGCGGGCGACGCGCCTCGCTGCACTCCTGGAGACCCCCGGGGGAGGCCTTCGTGAGGGCCCCCCTGGAGACCCGGGCCCCCGGGCATCACGGAACGCAGCGGGATATGCAGCGTTCTCCGGGGAGCACATCGTAGCATACACAGATCGGGACGATCGAATTGGGTGCGGGAAGATTGGCACAAAGACCAGCAGCAGTTCCTGCTAATTCTGAACGGGACTCGCTGCCAGCGTCGCCGCGGGCGTTGTCCATTTGAGGCAGAATGTCGCTTGCCCAACCGCGGCCGCTGCCGATTTTGGACAACATCTGTTGTTCGGCATCGTGCCGATTTTTTCCGTGCCCATTTCGGGCGTCCACGACATAAATATTCGGACGCCAGACACCTCCGGAACACCGAGAGCTGCGAGAGTTCGGGGAACAGATAACTGCACAGGGATAATTATTCGGAGTTCCGCGCCGTTTTCTCGGATCGGCGCTGGACCCCCCTCCCTGGCACGCGGAGCGCGCCAGGGGCAGGCGCCGAAGAGCAAACAATTGCATGAGCATCATTTCTCGGAGGTCCGCGCGGACTTCTTGGATCGGCGCGGGCTTAATTATGTCTAAGCCATTGTTGGTGTTCCCCGAGCTCTCGCAGCTGTCGGCGTCTGGAGGCCGTTTTGGCCCCCCCTCCCCCCCGGGCTGGAAGAGAAACGGCCGCTCGTGCAGGCTGAAGACGAGCCCCGCGTCCTGCGTGGGAGTGGAGGAGCCCGAAGGAGAACAACAATTGCATAAGCATGCGTTTTTGAAGGCCCGCGCCAGAGGCGCCTGGGAGGGGTTCAGCGCCGACCCCCAGGAAGTCCGCGCGAAGCTGTGAAATTTCACGGTCGGAGCTGGGGGCGAAGCGTTGGTCCCAGGCAGGGCCAACCAGGGGCTACGGCGCTGAGATCTCGCAGTGGAGCAAACGGGTCCTGAGGTCACCCCCCACCAGACCACCCCAACCCAACCCGAAGGCCCCAATTTGCCATCCATTTCCAGTGGGGGGGGCGTCGGGGAACATCGCAAAAACATATGTGGAACTCGCCCCCTCCCCCCCCCCAACCCGAGATTTGGGTCTTCGAGTTGGGTTCAGGTGGTCTGGTAGCTGGTCCTGAAGGGAAGGGGAACGGGTCCCAAGGTGTTTCGCCGAGTTCGGGGGGCCTGAGGGGCCCAGAGCTGTCGGAAAACGATTCACCGGGGGTCCAGGGGATCGGGTGGGGGAGGGGGCGGCGTTGCGAAAAGCGCGGCGGCCGCCAGAGGTCTTGCGGGAGTCGGGGGGGGCATGCTGGCCGGCGTCGCCACGGGCACTGGGCCAGTCACTAGCCAGGCTATATCAGGGGCGTTGAGACGGGGGTCAATGCAAACGGGGGTCAGCCAGAGCGCCGGATCTTGCAGGATCCTTCAGGATCAGGGTTGCATTGGCCCAGGCCAGCGCGCAGGGTCTTGCAGGATCCTGTTGGATTTTGCAGGATCCTGCAAAGCCTCGCTGACCTGGGTTTGCATTGACCCGGGTCACTGCGTCCCCGACTGGAAAGTGGGGACGTACATGAAGAAACCAGAGGTTGTTCGTCAGGGTACCCTGGGCTTATTCGCTCCGCGCGCAGCGCGAAGACTTCCCGCCGCCGTTGACGAAGTTGTTGCGTTCAGGGTGCTCCGGGTTTCCTCCCAGGTGCACCTCGCTCGCAGATGTTCAGGGTTTGGTTTTTTGCCATGTTCTCTTGGGCCCGCATCCGCACTGTACCCAGCACCAGCCTCCATCCGTGCTCTCCATGTGGCGGCCTGCTCGCGCGGACTGTCTGTGGGGGTTCCCTTTTTCTTCGACGGCGGAAGGCAAGGCTCCTCAATCAAAGGGACTGCTGGACGACATGATTGCCAGCGCGGCTGGCTCTCGAGTCAGATCTACTTTTGAGTCCCAGGAGATCAGTGTTGAATTTCCATCATGCACGTCTGAAAGTAGCTCGTCTGGGAGAGAGCTTGACGAGCAGCAGGGCGGGCCACCCAAGACGCACTACATGGAGCAGCGGCAAACAAGAGAGTCCAGGTTATGGGTTCAACATAGGAGCTGTGATTCACGTTGGCACAGGTGAAACCTCAGGACCTCAGCATTCAGCAATGGCTCAGCGCCCCGTCGCCGTATGTCCGCAGTCCTACGGCTGAGGATCGGAGAACACCGCATGCCCAGCGTAGGACACCGTCAAGCATGGTCGGCACACCGACCATCGTAAGGAGAGTGCCAGTGCTGTCCAACATCATCGACAGCCCGGAAGCAGACCGCCCCCTCTCCGTAGCCGTTTCGGCTCAAGAGTCCCGGGTTGACCTGCGCGCGGAGGTAATGCGCCTTCGCCCGGCTGGAGGGTGGCGGGCGCCATGGGGGGCGCGATGTGCTGCGCGGCAGCCGCGGGTGAACCGATCCCAGAGCCCTCGCGATGGCGCGACGCGACGCCGGTCTGCGCGGAGGAGACCGAGCCCATGATGTACCCCTGCGGCTACGCGGACATCGACGTGGATTGCGGGCGGGGGGGCAATCGTCGAAGAGCAAAACATGTCATGAAGATAATGTCTCGGAGATCCGTGCGGATTTCTTGCATCGGCGCTGGGCCCCCTTTGAGGCGCCTCCAAGGGCGCGCCAGGTAAGGGGGCCATTGCCGACCCAAGTAACCCGCACGGACCTCCGACGAATTATGTTCGTGCCGTTTCTTGTTCTCCTAGAGCGGGAGCGCACGGGCGACAGCTTTGGTGTGTGGCACTTGTGTTGCTGCCTCTTGCTGGCCGGGACGTTAGTCACGATCGTGTGGCTGCTGTATTTTCAGGGCGCGGGCTGGTCTCCCTCTCTGGTGCTCGAGCCCAGGACGACAGAGCAGCCTTAGCGGCGTATTTTCCCAACCGCCATGTGAGGAGGAGAAGAGCAAGGAGGATTGGTCGCCAGGAAGGACATGGGTCGTGAGAGGAATGGATCCGAGACCCCGCAGGTTTCCCCATAACTTTTTACTCACCCTGATATGTTTTTGGCGGTCCTGGGGCCAGGGGAGGGTCCCTAAAGGCCCGACGACGGCGACACAGTTCCAGGGCCCCCATCAAATCCTTTCGGACCCACTCAAATCATGCTGCATCGGCAAGGCTTCACGCTGCGCACAGCCTGGCCCGCAGGCCAGTCCCAGCTGGCCTCAGCAGTGGCAGGCGATGTTTCTCCCCCAGTCCACCAGTTCCGCTCGAAAGGCTGGGCCGCCCAGCTTGCGATTCGGACTCACCCCTCACGAGAATGGGCTCCTTCCTCGTATGTCCCCGAGTTGAGCCCCAGACTTCGCGCACTCTTCGGGGAGGCTGCTGGGGCCAGCCGGGGCGGACCTCCGAGGGACAGTTTGTGCGCGACCCCAGGCCTCACCCAGGCAGGCTCGCGTCGTGGAGCACGAGCACGGCGGAGGGCCTTTGGCCGGTTTCGGCTTCAGTGGGGCCCTCGCTGGGCCTCGGGACCGTCAAGACACGATCCAGGATGAGAAGCCGACCTCAGGGAATAATCGGGACTTTCAGGGACCGCGTACCGAACAAATCAGGTCGCCGGATGTTTGGGTACGAAACGAGGAGGGGGATGCAGCCGTCCAGGGGCGACAGATTAGGACTCGGCGTGTGTGCACCTGCGCGACTGCACCAGGCCGCTCCCGCTCGTGGCGGTCGGGTGGTGGCTCTACCTTCCGGGGTGCAGGACGATAGCCCCGCCCTGGCGCCCAGGCCAGAGTTGACAGGGCGGCCTCAGTGGCGTCTTGCCTCCAGCCGCCACAGGAGAGAGAGCGATTGACTCACAGTGTTTCGCGGACGGCCCATGTGGTGGCGGAAGTAGTCTAACAGAAGCGCCACCCGTTTTTCAGCATCAGACGCAGACAATATTCAGAGGTGGACAGGATCTGTTCGCGCCTTCGGTTGCGTCGAGGAGGAGGGGAGGAGGAGGAGGAGGAGGAGGAGGAGGAGGAGGAGGAGGAGGAGGAGGAGGAGGAGGGGGAAGGGGAAGGGGAGAGGGAGGTGGAGGCAGTCTCGCTTGCCAGACCACGCCAGCCTCGCAAATCGCGCCTGCGATGCAGAGTCAGCCAGACGTAAGAGTGACACTCTGCCGAAATGACCTTTGGTGCGCGGCTTTCTCGGGTGGGACGACAGGAAACAATTTGGGAAAGGAGGAGGTCCGATGTCTGCTGTTTACACATGGTTTCGGCCCCACCGCCGGCCCCTTGATATTGAAGAAATGCAGCGTGTGAGATTAATCGATTATCCAGTTTACTTCCGTAGGTGCCCTTTCCGTAATCATAATGGGTTCGGGCACCGTCTGTGTGATACTTATTTAATCGCTTCGCTCATGCCGCCGGCCCTGGAGCCCTCTTTAGGGCCTCTTGGGGACCTCTTGGGGGTCTCTTGGGGCTCCTTGGCGGCGTTTTGGAGGCCCCCAGGGCCTCTTGGGGGGCTCTTGGGGGTAGTCGATTGCGGCTCCCCCCTCGGAGGCCACGATCCTCGTGAGGGGTGTCGAAAAATACCCTCCCCTGGAGTGGTCTGGTGGCTTCTCCCGGGCTTCTCTCGGGACCTTGCCGGGGTACTTTTCGTCCGGGGGCCCCCAGGGGCCGCTCCGCGCGCGCGAACTAGAAATATTGTTAACAAGTTACCGGAGATCTTAGCACGCCTCTGGCCCGTTGGGCCGGCGAATTTGCCCCCGAGTCTGAACAAAAGCATCACACCTCATAGTTGCTGGCGATGTTGGCGTCTCAGTGGTAGTGGAGCCCGTGGAGATTTTGCTGGCGCCGCCATGTCTTCGCCGCGCAGCAGCCGTTCTAGCAATTGAGACAAGGTCAGTGATCGTAGACCGATGGGTGCAGCAGCTACGGAGTCCAATATGCATGATGGGAGGCAGTCTAGTACAAACGTTTCTGGCTTCTCAGAGTCACAGCGGGCAGAGCTCAAGGCCAGGCTAGAGGAGCACACTCGACACCAGCTCCAGGAGCTGAAGGACGAGCTGAAGCTTCTCTTGGGTGCTGGAGCTGCTTCCGTTCCTGCTGAGGCCCCGTGTCGGGCAGGGGAATACAAGGCGCCCAGGGGAGGGCGTCGACCACAGAGGGTGCAGAAGACCCGTGGGTGCTAGAAGACCCGGGGGTCGGTCGGCGTAAGCCAGCCGAGCAGCCAGCAGGATGGTGGGAGCATTCGAGCCCGTGGGGAATTTCGCGTGGTGTTTGGTGGTACGACCCGGACCGCAAGAGCCAATGGCGAGATGACGTGGGAAGCAACCAAGAATATTGGCCTTGAAAACCAAGAGATAGTGTTTGGGGATCTTCCGTGTCCAAACCCAACGAGTCAAATCCAGACTTTTTGTGTGGGTCTGGGAGATTTCCGCATCTGGAAAAGGGAAAATTCGCCGCTGGCTTTCCTCAAAAGATGTGCCCACGCACAAGAGGCTGGAGAAGCTTCTCAAACGCTTGGAACCGCGACCTCCATCAGCAGCAGCTTCGCGCGCGGCGTTGGAGGCCGCGTCCCGGTGACCTCTGGCGCCCTGGCCCCGGCCTGGAGGGGCGGAATGGGGCGATGAAAATAGATCTGGTCGGACAAGAGCTGCCGGCGCTGATGCCGGGTGGGGGCGCAGAAGAAACTGCCGAGCGGTCACCGAGTTGCGTTTGAAGCCCGCCCGGGCCCGCCAGAGCAGTTTGCCGCGCCGCCAGGGGTAGCAGCGAAGCGTGGACTGAAAAAGGGAGCGTTTTGTTTTTTTCCCTCCAGTTATAAGGTGCGATCCGATTCGAAGGAGGGCGTCGGTGGTCGAGCGATTGTCGCGAGGGTCTGACTGAGACCCCAGAGAAGGCGCGTGGAACAGACGCGTGGGTTGACGAATTCGAACGAGTTCGACATCCAGGATAACAGTCCATCGGCACCAAGGTCTCTAGGAGCTATCGGATCAACCTGGCAGAACATGGGGGAGATCAGCCCGGCGGGAAGTGCCCGCAAACCAACGGCTGAAGCGAGGGGGGCCAGAAGGGAAAAGGAAAGGTCCGGGGGGCCGGGGAGCCACCGGCATTGCAGTCGCGGAGAGATCTGGCGAGGCTCGGCAAGCCGAGGAGTGCAACAACGTGCCTCGCCCGTCTGGACATGAGCCCGAGAGGGAATCTTCGACGAGCCCGCCCAGAATTCCCGTAACCCCTTCTCTCAGGTCCCCTGGCATTTCTTGCTCAGTTTCCCGCGGCCCAGCCGACCGCCGCCGCTCGCCGATTCTGGTTGTGAGACTCGAGCGACGAAGGGCGCCGGCGGCTGGAGCTCACGAGCCAGCCCATGCCAAGCGAGATCTCGATGCCATATTTCTGCCGGGGAGCCATGGCCAGTCGGTTCTTGGCGAGAGAGGGGCGGCTGGCCGCGAACATGATCGAGATGCGCAGTCGCGGTCGTCTGTTCCCATCGGGGGCGACGACGAGGGCGAATGGCCCAGGGGCCCAGGGGGGGCATGCGCGCGCTCGCTGGGGGGCCTCGTCGAAGTCATGGATCGCCGGCGCCCATGGATGCACGCGGCGCCCCCCCAGCCATTCGCCTTCGTCGTCGCCCCCGATCTCGCGGGGCTGCCCGAGGACGCGTGGGCGCTGCGGCCCGAAGCAGACGGGGCACCGGCATTTTTGTGACTGCGAGATGCTGTTGGGCAACGGCAGCGCGAAATGGGCCGAGCATAGCCGGCGCTTTGTTAGGGCGGTCTACGCGTCGACGCCCGTCCAGGAGGGCGAGGCCACGAGTCCTGCAGCTGATCGCGGCCGTGGCCACCGAGACCAACCGTCGGCCCAGGGCATTCTGAAGTCCACCGGGGCGTCGAGGTCCCCGCGGGGCGAGGCGCCGCCCCCGCGGAAGACAGCCCGGGGCCGCCGCCCGGGAGAGCGCGCACACGTGGGGGTGGGCGAATTCGGCGCCGAGACGCTGCCAGAAGCACGCCGAGGCAGAGGGCCGGCCGGCATCAGGAACGGCAGGACCTGCCGGAGACGCAGCCGAATATTACATTCTCGAGGCGCTGGGCGCGATGAAGGCGCAGGTTACGAACCAGGGGCGGGCCCTCGACGCGCCGCGCGGCGCCGTCGCGCGCCTCCAAGACTGCGCCTAGATCCGCGCGCGGGCGCTAGCTGCCGTCGCGCCCAGTTTGGCCTCGGGCGCTGCTCCAGCAAGCCCGGTGCCGAACGGTCGGCAGGCAGGGCGCGTCGCGCGCGGGCCCCCGGTGCCGCGGCGACGGCGCCCATCGGCTTGGCGAACGTCAACCTTCCGCGGGGGGGCCGAGCATTGGGCGGGGGATGGCGCGATCTATTTACAGACGGGCCACAACGAGCTCTCACGACCGAGCCCGTCTCTGGAGGCAGCCCGGCAAATCAGGGCCCCGAGGGCGACCCGCGCACGCCGGCACGCCGCGCGGACGTGAACGGGCCAGGCAGCAGGCTGGGCCCCAGGGGTCATCGTGCCGAGGGAGCGAGTGAGTTAGGGGCCGACGCGTCGCGCCGCTGCATGCGCCGCGCCATTGTGATCCGACAGAGGAGGCGAGAGGGCCCAAAGCACAGCGGCCACAACCGCATGGACAACCAAGACGCGGGCCTCTGTCGGAGCCTTGCACATCGCAGCGCTACACCTTGTTTGGCGCGCTAACCACCGCGAGGGCGCTGCGTTCAATGGTGGCCATGAATCGACCTCGCCGAAGCGGGTGGGAAGAGATCTGCGCGGAAAGGAATTTGCGTGCGCGACGAGCGGAAGACAGATCGCGCGCGACGGCGCCCAGATGTCGGAGCCCACCCAAGGCACTCGGGGCATCCAGGATCAGGGCCCGACGCCGCACTGGAGCAGCCCCCCCCCGCCTTCCGTCGCTTCCCACTTCGGCACTCCAGGAGGGCAGGCTCTTCAAGGTTGGGTCGCCGAGTCGAGGAGCGATGGGGGGGGGGGGGAGGAGGGGGGAGGGGGAGGGGAGGAGGAGGGGGGGGAGGAGGAGGAGGAGGAGGAGGAGGAGACATGAGCTTTTCGAACAGGGATTCGCAGAGCCCCCCGTCCCCGGGCGGGGCCGCCCCTCGAGAGGCGGGCGGCGCGTTGTCGAGGCAGCCTCGACCCGCGGACGGGCCAGTCTCTGGTTCGCGCTATGGTTGCGAGGCATCGACCTCGGATGCGAACGTTGAGCCCCCCCCCCCCTCCGCGACCTCCAGCGCCACTCGCAGACTGCCATGGCACTGGGCGGGCCCCCTGGAGAGGGTCAGGAGACAGATGGGGCGGAGAGTCTCACTTGCCATTGCCGCCGTTCTCGCCGCGGAGCAGGCGCGTGGAAGCAGGGGCCCCGTCTGCGAGCACTCCTCAGGGGCCGCTCCCCCGGCCCGGGACCCGCTGCTCAGCCTCGCCGGGGCCGCGGGGGCGGGGGCGATCGATTTCGACGCGTGCTGTCGAGTAGGAAACGCGCCCCTTACCCCGTCGACTGTTTCGTTTTGGTTTCGTTTCTTTGCTACATTTCTCTCTCTCTCTCTCTCTCTCTCTCTCTCTCTCTCTCTCTCCTTCTCTTCTCCTCTCTCTTCTCCTCGATCTCGCCTCCTTCTCGTCTCTTCATCTCTCTTCTCTCTCTCTCTCTCTCTCTCTTCTCTCTCTCTCTCTCTCTCGCGTCTCTCTCTCTCTCTCATCTCTCCTCTCTCTCTTTTCTCTCTCTCTCTCTCCTCTCCTCTCTCTCGCTCTCTCCGCTCTCTCTCTCTCTCTCTCTCTCTCTCTCTCATCTCTAACTCTCTCTCCGGTCTCTCTCTCTTCTCGTCTCTCTCTCTCTCCTCTCTCATCTCGTCTCCTCTCTCTCTCTCTCTCTCTCTCTCTCTCTCTATCTCTCTCTCTCATCCTCTCTCTCTCTCTCTCTCTCTCTCTCTCTCTCCTCTCTCGTCTCTCTCTTTCTCTCTCTCTCTCTTTCTCTCTCTCTCGCGTGTCTCTCCCGTCTCTC